GTGGATAGCAGTTGAGTTAAACAATAGACCAATAAAGCTTTGAAAAGCTACCACATATTCCTGGGATTTTAGAAGACCACTCACATTTGTAGGACTGTGCATATGTGCAGGGCTATGTACTTGATTAGAAAAGACAAGAAGGCCCTAAGCTTTCAATTCCAACCTACCTTAAGGCTGTGCATAAACAAGAAGTTAAGGGTTAGGCTAATTGTTAAAAATGTACTCCCAATATACAGAGCCACTCAGCAAATACTGGGAGACTTGATGGTTCTAAGGATTTATAGAAATGTCTGTCCAATCATTACTGATGACAGCTAACAAAATAAAGATATCAGTGATCACCCCCAAAAAAGAATATTGACTTTGCAGAACTAAGAAAATCATGAAACTAAGAACTAGAATAAACAACAATAAACAGTGGAATTGGATAAAAAAGCAATGACTAGAAATTGTCCTTGAGGATCCTACACATTGGACTCAATAGACAAACACTGTCAATCAGTTATGTTAAATATATTTATTCAAGGAACCAAAAGAAAGCATTTCTGAAGAAATAAAGTGTTAGAATTATGTCTCATAAAATATAACATTTCAATCAAAAGTTATAAACTATTTTTTAAATAACCAAATAAAAATTCTGAAGTTTACAAGTACCTTATTCAGAAATGAAAATGTTTTGAAGTGAAAAACTCCAGAAATGAAAAATATATTAGGAGGACTCATTAGCACATTTGAGCAGGCAGAAGAAAATACGATTGGACTTTAAGACAAGTCAAGTAAGGTAATTCAGTGTGAGGAACAGAAATGAAAAAGAATTAAAATAATGAACACATACAATTTGTGGGATATACCATTAAGCATGCCAGCATACCTGTAGTAAGAATTCCAGAAAAAGACAGGGAAAGAAAGGGTCAGAAGGAATATTTGGAGAAATAATGGTCCTTCCCAAATTGAAGAAAAATATTATCTAAGGAGCTCAATAAACTCTTAAGTAGGAAAAACTCAAAGAAATCCACACTTGAGATTCATCATAAACCATAAGACTGAAGCCAGAAGTTAAGCAAGGCATCATGGCAAGTACCTGTAATCCCTAATACTCAGAAGGTTGAAGCGAGAGAGTCAATTGAGCCCAGGAGTTCAAGACTACAGTGAGCTATGGTTTTGCCACTGCATTTCAGGTTAGGTGACAGAGTTAGACCCTAAATCTAGAAAAAAGTGATTAAAAAAAAACCAAAGACAAAAAGATAATCTTAAAAGCAGCAAGAGAGAAGGTATTCATCACATTAATGTGTTCCTCAATAAAATTTTAGACTGGTTTAAATCAGAAGCTATGGAGTCCAAAGTTTCATGATGGCATATTCAGTGTACTGAAAAGAAAAGAACTGTCAACCATGAATATCCAGCAAAACTGTCTTTCAAAAATATAGGATAAATTGGCATTCTCAGATAAAACCAGGTTTATCACTAGTAGATCTGCACTACTAGAAATACTAAAAGGAGTCCTTCAGAATGAAGTGAAAGGACACTAGACAGTAGCTCAGATTCAAAGGAAGAAATAAAGAGCAATGATAATGGTAACTAGGTAAATATAAAAGACTAAATGCAGTTTTCCCTAGTAACTGTTCTATCTGATTTAAAAGATGATCTCACAAAACAATAATTATAAATATATGTTGGTGGGAACATATTATATAAAGATGTAATTGGTGTAAAAATAGCAATTAAAGGGGAGAGATTATAAATACATAACAGCAAAGTTTCCATATCCTGTTGAAATTAAGTTGATATCATCTAAACTTAGATTCTTCTGTATTAAGATGTTATCCTCGTGGAAACTACTAAGAAAATGTCTCAAAAATATCATGCATAGGGAATTAAAAATGAGCACTGGAAAATATCTATCACAAAAGAAGGTAACAATGGAGAAATAGAAGAAAAAAGACATAGAAAATAGCAAAATGGCAAATGTAAATCTTATCTCATAGGTAATTCATGATACTTAAAAAATTAGGGCTGGGCACAGTAGCTCACGCCTGTAATGCCAGCACTTTGAGAGGCTGAGGCAGGCAGATCACAAGGTCAGGAGATCAAGATCATCCTGGCTAAAATGATGAAACCCTATCTCTACTAAAAATATAAAAAATTAGCTGGATGTGGTGGCATGTGCCTGTAGTCCCAGCTACTTGGGAGGCTGAGGCAGGAGAATTGCTTGAAATTGGGAGGCTGAGGTAGATCTCGACTCTGCACTTTAGCCTGGGTGACAGAGTGAAACTTCATCTTAACAAAAAAATTAAACACTCCAATTAGGAGGTAGAATATTGAAGACTGGATAAAAATCATGGTTCAACTATATTTTGTCTACAAGAGATGCACTTTACATTCAAAGGCACAAATAAGTTGAATGTAAAAGGAATCAAAAACATACTATTGAAACAGCATAAGAGAATTGCAATGGCTAAACAAATATTGGACAAATAGACTTTAAGAGAATTTTTTCTTACTAGAGACAAATAAAAATATTTTATAATGTCAACAGGGTCAAATCAAGAGAAAGATATGACCATTACTAATCTACATACACCTAAAAGAGGTCCTAATAATATAAGCAAAACTGATAGAAGGAAGAAATAGATATGCAATGTAATAGAAATGTCAGTATCCCACATTCACCAGTGGACAGAACAGACAGAAGGTAAATAAGGAAATATTCATTCCAGATATGTCACATCCTATTACTTAAAATTTCCAGATTTCAACACAAAATTACAAGATATCAACAAATCAGAGAATAACAATAAATAGTTAATAACTTATAATAAGGTGTAATGTTTGTTGCCTCCTTGTTTTTAAATAACTTGCCCTTTGAAAAAGTACTCTATACAGGGACTCTTACAAAAGATAGGTGCATGTATAGAAAATATATATTATATATATATATATTTATAAAATGTCACAAAATATAGTCTGAACATTTGAAAGGAATAACCTTTAAGCTAATCTGTTCCTTTTTGTTTCTGAGGTCTGAATTCCCCTCTGTGATATCCCTACTTTACAGGAATGGTTTTAGTGGTTGTGTTTTCACTCCCTTTAAGACAGTTATTCTGTTTATTTCTTTTCTTTGCCAAGTCTTTCACACTCACTATGGGCAATTACATTTTCTTTGATAATAGACTAAATGTTCCACTTCATTGACTTCTCAGAATAGGTAAAAATAAGGAACATCTAATAACATACTATTCAAGAAAAAGATCTAATAATAAGAAATGGCTGAAAATAAAAGGACAAATATATACCATTAAAGCATTAATTACAAGAAAGTGGTTATATCTATATGACTAGTAGACCAAAAAAAGTTAAAGGAAAAAAAAGCAGTTATGGAAATAAAGGTTACTTCACAATGATAAAACTGAGAAACTACACTTTGGGAGACCGAGGTGGGTGGATCACGAGGTCAAGAGATCAAGACCATCCTGACCAACACAGTGAAACCCCGTCTCTACTAAACTATAAAAAATTAGCTGGGCATGGTGGCGCGCGTCTGTAGTCCCAGCTGCTTGGGAGGCTGAGGCAGGAGAATTGTTTGAACCTGGGAGGCGGAGTTTGCAGTGAGCGGAGATCGTGCCACTGCACTCCAGCCTGGCGCCTGGTGACAGAACGAGACTGTCTCAAAAAAAAAAACAACTGAGAAACTATAACAATTCTAAATTTGTATGCATATTTTCTGTGATTTTTAAACAAACTCTTATTTATTACATAATGCTCTCCCTAGTTTCATGCCATCAGCAAGTTTTTAAAATCATTTTTCTTTACAATGTGTGTTCAGCTGATTTCTTACATAAAGTGAATGAACCCCTTAATAATAGTAATCCTTATTTGTGTTTACTAGTTCTTTTTGTTATTAGTTCTGTTTATTTCTCTTCTTGTTTGACTAAGGAACACAATGATATTGGCTAGTAGTTGAGAAAGGTATTTGATATTAAATTATATAAAATTACCATCTATATGAACTTAACTGTGAATGATATAGTTAACAAAGCCGTCTCTTCAGAATACTATTTGTAATGCCCTCGTATGTGTCTATTAGAAATTAAGAACAGGCTGCGCATGCAAGGTTGGGGGAACCATATACCTTGCCTTTCATTTTTGCCTTTTCTGGCTTGTTACTGCATTTTGGCTTGTGATTAATAAGTCTAAGTCATTTCCTTTGTAAGTCATAGGTGCATGTTAAAATGCTTGTATCCTTGTGTAAACTACTAAGAAAATATCTCAAAAATACAGTGTTTAGGGAATTAAAATGAACAATGGAAAATTTCCAAAACAAAAGAAGGCAGCAATGGAGAAGTAGAAAATAGACATAGAAAATAGCAAAATGGCAAATGTGAGGAACAGAAAGAAAAAAGTATAAAAATAATGAACACATATGGATTTGTGGGATACCATTAAAAATGCCAACGTACCTATAATAAGAATTCCAGAAAAAGTCGGGGAAAGGGACAGAAGGAATATTTAGAAAAATAATGGTCCTTACCAAATTGAAGAAAATTGTTATCTAAGGAGCTCAATGAACTCTTAAGTAGGATAAACTCGGAGATCCACACTTGAAACTCATCATAAATCATAAGTCTGATAATTTTCTCAAATCCTTATTCCTCAGAATACAGGTACAACCTCTTGAGTTCATATAACAATGTTTATTATTAATTTACATATCTTGACACAGGATTCAGTCCTGTATTTTATGGATTCAAGAGTTATCACTGGTTACCTAGTTTTTGATAAACAATATTAGCAAAAACTATAATAAAACTGTATAGGTTTATTGAAAAGGATAGTAAATCCTCACTTAAACTTTTTTTCCCCAAAGAAACACTAGCATTTAATTCCATTTCTTATAAATTAAATTTATAAGGGAAGGGGGAGAACATTTTCAGAACAAACCTAAGCATTATTTTGGGGACAACGAGGCAATGAATTAATGGAAATCTTTTAAAATTTTTCAGGATGAGAGAGACCTAGAGAAAGATGATGAACTGGAACTGAAAAGAAGTCTTTTATACAGAGACTCTGCCTATGACAGTGACCCCGAGTATAGGTATGAATGAAATATATGTATATCTTTCTCATAATTCTTATAAAAATAACTGTTTCATAATCTGCTGAATTTATGGGAAATTTAAACTCAAAAGGATAATTAGTATATTTTTATTTTTAACTCTAAATTTCTTTTTTTTTTTAAATTTTTTATTGGATTTTAGGTTTTGGGGTACATGAGCAAAGCATGCAAGACAGTTGCGTAGGTACGCACGTGGCAGTGTGCTTTGCTTTGCTTCTCCCCTTCACCCACATTTGGCATTTCTCCCCAGGCTATCCCTCCCCATCTCCCCCTCCCACTGGCCCTCCCCTTTTCCCCCCAATAGACCCCAGTGTTTAGTACTCTCCTTTCTGTGTCCATGTGTTCTCATTTTTCATCACCTGCCTATGAGTGAGAATATGCGGTGTTTCATTTTCTGTTCTTGTGTCAGTTTGCTGAGGATGATGTTCTCCAGATACATCCATGTCCCTACAAACGACACAAACTCATCATTTCTGATTGCTGCATAATATTCCATAGTGTATATGTCCCACATATTTCCAATCCAGTCTATTATCATGGGCATTTGGGTTGATTCCAGGTCTTTGCTATTGTAAACAGTGCTGCAATGAACATTCGTGTACATGTGTCCTTATAGTAGAACGATTTATAGTCCTTTGGATATATACCCAGTAATGGGATTGCTGGGTCAAATGGAATTTCTTTTTCTAAGGCCTTGAGGAATCGCCACACTGTCTTCCACAATGGTTGAACTAATTTACACTCCCACCAACAGTGTAAAAGTGTTCCTTTTTCTCCACATCCTCTCCAGCATCTGTTGTCTCCAGATTTTTTAATGATCGCCATTCTAACTGGCATGAGATGGTATCTCAGTGTGGTTTTGATTTGCATCTCTCTGATGACCAGTGACGATGAGCATTTTTTCATATGATTGTTGGCCTCATATATGTCTTCTTTTGTAAAGTGTCTGTTCATATCCTTCGCCCACTTTTGAATGGGCTTGTTTGTTTTTTTCCTGTAAATCTGTTTGAGTTCTTTGTAAATTCTGGATATCAGCCCTTTGTCAGATGGGTAAACTGCAAAAATTTTTTCCCATTCTGTTGGTTGCCGATTCACTCTAGTGACTGTTTCTTTTGCCGTGCAGAAGCTGCGGAGTTTGATTAGGTCCCATTTGTCTATTTTGGCTTTTGTTGCCAATGCTTTTGGTGTTTTGTTCATGAAGTCCTTGCCTACTCCTATGTCCTGGATAGTTTTGCCTAGATTTCCTTCTAGGGTTTTTATGGTGCCAGGTCTTATGTTTAAGTCTTTAATCCATCTGGAGTTAATTTTAGTGTAAGGTGTCAGGAAGGGGTCCAGTTTCTGCTTTCTGCACATGGCTAGCCAGTTTTCCCAACACCATTTGTTAAACAGGGAATCCTTTCCCCATTGCTGGTTTTTGTCAGGTTTATACAAGATTGTATAGTTGTAGATATGTTGTGTTGCCTCCGGTGCCTCTGTTTTGTTCCATTGGTCTATATCTCTGTTTTGGTACCAGTACCATGCTGTTTTGATTACTGTAGCCTTGTAGTATAGTTTGAAATCCGGTAGTGTGATGCCCCCCGCTGTGTTCTTTTTGCTTAGAATTGACTTGGCTATGTGGGCTCTCTTTTGGTTCCATATGAAGTTCATGGTGGTTTTTTCCAGTTCTGTGAAGAAAGTCAATGGTAGCTTGATGGGGATAGCGTTGATTCTGTAAATTACTTTGGGCAGTATAGCCATTTTCACAATATTAATTCTTCCTAACCATGAACATGGAATGTTTCTCCATCTGTCTGTGTCCTCTCTGATTTCGTTGAGCAGTGGTTTGTAGTTCTCCTTGAAGAGGTCCCTTACGTTCCTTGTGAGTTGTATTCCAAGGTATTTTATTCTTTTTGTAGCAATTGTGAATGGCAGTTCGTTCTTGATTTGGCTTTCTTTAAGTCTGTTGTTGGTGTAGACGAATGCTTGTGATTTTTGCACGTTGATTTTATATCCTGAGACTTTGCTGAAGCTGCTTATCAGTTTCAGGAGTTTTTGGGCTGAGGCGATGGGGTCTTCTAGGTATACTATCATGTCGTCTGCAAATAGAGACAATTTGGCTTCCACCTTTCCTATTTGAATACCCTTTATTTCCTTTTCTTGCCTGATTGCTCTGGCTAGAACTTCCAGTACTACATTGAATAGGAGTGGTGAAAGAGGGCATCCTTGTCTAGTGCCAGATTTCAAAGGGAATGCTTCCAGTTTTTGCCCATTCAGTATGATATTGGCTGTTGGTTTGTCATAAATAGCTTTTATTACTTTGAGATACGTTCCATCGATACCGAGTTTATTGAGGGTTTTTAGCATAAAGGGCTGTTGAATTTTGTCAAATGCCTTCTCTGCGTCAATTGAGATAATCATGTGGTTTTTGTTTTTGGTTCTGTTTATGTGGTGAATTACGTTGATAGACTTGTGTATGTTGAACCAGCCTTGCATCCCCAGGATGAATCCTACTTGATCATGATGAATAAGTTTTTTGATTTGCTGTTGCAATTGGCTTGCCAATATTTTATTGAAGATTTTTGCATCTATGTTCATCATGGATATTGGCCTGAAGTTTTCTTTTCTTGTTGGGTCTCTGCCGGGTTTTGGTATCAGGATGATGTTGGTCTCGTAAAATGATTTGGGAAGGCTTCCCTCTTTTTGGATTGTTTGAAATAGTTTTAGAAGGAATGGTACCAGCTCCTCTTTGTGTGTCTGGTAGAATTCGGCTGTGAATCCGTCAGGACCTGGGCTTTTTTTGAGTGGTAGGCTCTTAATTGCTTCCTCGACTTCTGACCTTGTTATTGGTCTATTCATAGTTTCAGCTTCCTCCTGGTTTAGGCTTGGGAGGACACAGGAGTCCAGGAATTTATCCATTTCTTCCTGGTTTATTAGTTTATGTGCATAGAGTTGTTTATAATATTCTCTAATGATGGTTTGAATTTCTGTGGAATCTGTGGTGATTTCCCCTTTATCATCTTTTATTGCATCTATTTGGTTGTTCTCTCTTTTATTTTTAATCAATCTGGCTAGTGGTCTATTTTGTTGATCTTTTCAAAAAACCAGCTCTTGGATTTATTGATTTTTTGAAGGGTTTTTCGTGTCTCAGTCTCCTTCAGTTCAGCTCTGATCTTAGTTATTTCTTGTCTTCTGCTGGGTTTTGAGTTTTTTTGATCTTGCTCCTCTAGCTCTTTCAATTTTGACGATAGAGTGTCAATTTTGGATCTCTTCATTCTCCTCATATGGGCACTTATTGCTATATACTTTCCTCTAGAGACTGCTTTAAATGTGTCTCAGAGGTTCTGGCATGTTGTGTCTTCATTCTCATTGGTTTCGAAGAACTTCTTTATTTCTGTCTTCATTTCATTGTTTACCCAGTCAACATTCAAGAGCCAGTTGTTCAGTTTCCATGAAGCTGTGCGGTTCTGGGTTGGTTTCTGTATTCTGAGTTCTAGCTTGATTGCACTATGGTCTGAGAGGCTGTTTGTTATGATTTCAGTTGTTTTGCATTTGTTGAGCAGTGCTTTACTTCCAATTATGTGGTCAATTTTAGAGTAGGTGTGATGTGGTGCTGAGAATGTGTATTCTGTGGATTTGGGGTGAAGAGTTCTGTAAATGTCTATCAGGTTTGCTTGCTCCAGGTCTGAGTTCAAGCCCTGGATATCCTTGTTGATTTTCTGTCTGGTTGATCTGTCTAATATTGACAGTGGAGTGTTAACGTCTCCCACTATTATTGTGTGGGAGTCTAAGTCTCTTTGTAAGTCATTAAGAACTTGCCTTATGTATCTGGGTGCTCCTGCATTGGGTCCATATATGTTCAGGATCGTTAGCTCTTCTTGTTGTATCGATCCTTTGACCATTATGTAATGTCCTTCTTTATCTCTTTTGATCTTTGTTGCTTTAAAGTCTATTTTATCAGAGATGAGAATTGCAACTCCTGCTTTTTTTTTCTCTCCATTTGTTTGGTAAATCTTCCTCCATCCCTTTATTTTGAGCCTTTGTGTATCCTTGCCTGTGAGATGGGTTTCCTGGATACAGCACACTGATGGGTTTTGGATTTTTATCCAATTTGCCAGTCTGTGTCTTTTGATTGGTGCATTTAGTCCATTTACATTTAGGGTTAATATTGTTATGTGTGAATTTGATACTGCCATTTTGATGCTAAGTGGCTGTTTTGCCTGTTAGTTGTTGTAGATTCTTCATTATGTTGATGCTCTTTAGCATTTAGTGTGATTTTGGAATGGCTGGTACTGGTTGATCCTTTCTATGTGTAGTGCCTCTTTTAGGAGCTCTTGTAAAGCAGGCCTGGTGGTGCCAAAATCTCTGAGTACTTGCTTGTTCGCAAAGGATTTTATTTTTCCTTCACTTCTGAAGCTCGGTTTGGCTGGATATGAAATTCTGGGTTGAAAGTTCTTTTCTTTAAGAATGTTGAATATTGGCCCCCACTCTCTTCTGGCTTGTAGTGTTTCTGCCGAGAGATCTGCTGTGAGTCTGATGGGCTTCCCTTTGTGGGTGACCCGACCTTTTTCTCTGGCTGCCTTTAGTATTTTCTCCTTTATTTCAACCCTGTTGAATCTGACGATTATGTGCCTTGGGGTTGCTCTTCTTGCGGAATATCTTTGTGGTGTTCTCTGTATTTCCTGTATTTGAGTGTTGGCCTGTCTTGCTTGGTGGGGGAAATTTTCCTGGATGATGTCCTGAAGAGTATTTTCCAGCTTGGATTCATTCTCTTCGTCCTCTTCTGGTACACCTATCAAATGTAGGTCAGGTCTTTTCACATAGTCCCACATTTCTTGGAGACTTTGTTCATTCCTTTTTGTGATTTTTTCTCTAATCTTAGTTTCTCATTTTATTTCATTGAGTTGGTCTTCGACTTCAGATATTCTATCTTCTGCTTGTTCAATTCGGCTATTGAAACTTGTGCATGCTTCGCGAAGTTCTCGTATTGTGTTTTTCAGCTC